TCCCTACACACTCCATTCCAGTAAGTTACTGTGCTGAAAATCTTGTGCCCCGTAATTATTGTATGGATTTGAAACAACTTACTCTGTATTCCATAGTTACTAACCTAGAAAATATGCCTGCATCAGTCATATGTAATGCTTCCAGGTTTAGATTCACTTTAGTAAAAGAGCTATAATTGCTTCTAGTTATGTTGCATGTTGACTTCCTTAGCAGTAAGGTGCTTTACTTAACAGATTTGCAGAAATCAATATATTAAGTAATCTAAATACATGTACAGCCAATTAGTGTAGATCTGTCTGGTAAAGAATTTAGAAGGGGAAAAAGTCTGTTTCCCTCCTATTAATCTATAGGACTACTTTTATGGCTAACTCCCAGCCAATGCTACTGCAAGCAAACGTAGTGGAAGAAGGGAACCTAGAACCCTCTTGGTCTCCATGCAGTTTTTGTTTAGGCAAGTAGAACTTATTACTTACATACCTAGCTCAGACTTAAAATGTTAGTTGCTTGCTACATAGAATAACACCTTTGCTTTTATGCTGCTTCTTGAATTCATACAATTACTCCACAAAAATAAGTAAGATGATCTGGTTTATTTTCTTATATAGATCCCTAAAACTTTCATATTATCAGGTAAAACTTGTATTTGATAATTTGTAGTCATGCATTGCAGTGCATCTATTATGGGTGTTAGAGAACTGCATTATAAATGCAGCACTTCCTATACCATCACCTTCTGATAGATTGTGTGTGTGGAGAGGGAGATGAACGTTCTAAATTATACAGGCTTGGTTTTCAAGGTCCTGTTCTGAAAGCATGTGAGATGTATCAGCAGAGCATAAAAATTTACATGCCCAACTTTGAGGAAATCTATATTTTACGTACTGTAGGTTAACACATTTTAAGTAATACTGCGCTCTTTTTGGACATACTTACTAATTTTCATCTCTTCTTCATTTTGATTTTCCTTTTAGTGACCATTGCATATTTTCTTCACCTCTAATGCATTCATTTTCTCGTGATATAATTAATGTGATATCTTCTTAAACTGATTCATAAGGTTTTTTCTAACATATCTATCTCATAAATTTACCCATGTACTAAGAAGTCTAATAGCTTTTAAAGTAAATGGATACTGAGTTTATGAGGTCTTTTACATTTTAAACCTGTTTAATATTTTATTTTGTGTAATAATAACACAGATGAAATAGTGCAACAAAATGTTTGTATGGTTTAAAAAGGCAGAGAGACAGGAATAGAGAATTGTCCTGGAAAAGATTGATGCAAAGCATTTATTACTTTTAGAATAGTGGACTTAATCCACTGAATTTTGCTGGGAATGGAAGATTTTTTTAAAATGTGGTATTAAAATATGCATTTTCCTGTTTGTTTGTGAGTGATATGAGGCAGTAAAACATTGCATTTAAAAAAAAATAATTGTATGAATAATTTATTGTCCTATATTTGTCATTTTATGTGTTTGGATTGATCCTTCCCTTAGGTGTTGTGGGATTTAGAGAGTATAATACAGGTAAGTGTTACACAGATCAATGAGGCCTTCCATACAGTAAGTTATGTTTCCTCTTACATGTCGAGCAGCAGGGGAGAATAAGGGCTTGGTAGCTTGCCAATAGTTAATTGGAGATTGTAGGTTTAATATGATGATACAAAAATTTAAGAGTTCTCAAGTAACTGAAAACTAGAAAAAAAATAAAAAGTAGCCCTCTTGAAATTTTCATTTCAGAAAAGAAAAAAATGGAAAACAGATAAAGAAAACAGTGGAAGATGTATTTGCAGATTATGTAGGCAATCTAGGTTTATTCTAGAAAATGAAAAGTCTACATTTGCTTAAATTAAAAATGGTTAACTAAAAATGGTATGACATGTCTGTGAAGATGTTTTCCACTTTTTAAAGATTTTAAAAGAAGTAATAACAATGCTGACAGCAGTACAAAATACTCTGAAAAATTAAAAATTACCAAAAAATCATAATGCATTGTGCAAAAGGAAGCAAAGCAGCTGGTGAGATAAATTCGTTCTTTATTTTCTCTGATTTCACTTTTTTTTGTACCATACATCATGTTAGTGTGGAGGATCTTGCTCCAGCAAATGATTAAGACTTCTACCCTTTACGTATGTTGAAATATATTGCTAGATTCTGCCTTTTGTGAATGGACAGTACATATATACTCAGAACTTTTAATAATTAATATTCATTTCAAAATTAACTCAATACAATCACATTTCTTAGTATCATGTTACTGCCATTTTTCATCATATTCTAAATTTTATCACTTTAAGATATCCAAAATTTAAAATTTTTAATACTTCATTTCTGTATTTTATTAGTTATGCACCGTCACCATGTCTGTGTTGGATAATGGATAATTTACACTGAGTATATATGACTGTTTTACATAATGAGGAACATCTTGAGAAACACAGCTTTGACTTTGTCTGCTGTTTGACCTTTCATCTAAACCATTTTAACAAAGGCAAAGTCAAACTTTAAACATGTAGGAAAAGACAAAAATTATTAGCCTGGAAACCCACAGAGATGCAAGTATTTTTACCATGTGCATAGGGCTTATAGTACATACTGTATAATTGTTACCGCCTAACTAGATATTAGCTATATTTACCATATTATATCATCTAACCTGAACCCAAGCCATGTAACAACTTAATCAAAATGCTAAATTCATATCAGAAAAGTGATTAAAAGAATAAACAGTGCTTAAATTTCTCATTTTTTCACCTAACAAATAAAATGACCACAAAAATCACTTTGGTGAATTTTTGTATGTAAAACAATCTCATAATTTTGTCCTTGTCCATAGAAATTGTTAGAATTGTATCCAGTTTTATGAAAAGCAGAAGGATTTGTGTGCTAATTATAAAGCATTCTGTCTCGTTACCGAATAGGAAGCACAATTTTTTTTAAAGCGTTGAGTAGCCTTAGAATTGCTTCATAGAGGACTAGCAGAGAAAAGCATTTTGCAAAGGTTTCATGCTTGGCCCCTGGAAACAAAAGAAAAAGAGCTTGGGCAGATGCTTGCTGCAAAAGCACGGTTTCAAGAAATAGTGTATCATTTACTGCTTTCTTGGAAGATAGCACGAGTCTTTCTGGTTTGCAGACATTCCCCTGATTGCGACCACTATCGATACTTTTGGAAGACTACAGGTATATTGAGATAACTGAAATGTTAAGCAAGCTCTTCAAGACTGAAGGTTGTATCATGCCACTGATTTTAAAGCAGAAAATCTCATTTGTTTCAAAAAGGACTTAGGTCTAAAAATCAAGGGTATAATAGAGGTTTTCAGTGTGCCATTTTATACTGATTTTTAATTGAAGAAAGTGAACATGAATCCATAATTATTTACTCAAATTGTTCAGTGAGGTATATTCACATTATTTTTGCATCTGCTTTCTGACAATACTCCAGGGATCCAGTCTTCTGAATATGAATGCCTTTGGGATAGGAATTCCAGAATTGTGTATATGGCTGTTCATGGAAACTAAATGTAAGCATTCTTTCCTGAACATCCATGCAAGAAGACTTTATGCATTACTTGCTTTCAGAAAAATAGAAATCATATAATATGCTATCTCTCAACAATAAAAAAATTACGCTATTCAAATGTGTCATATTAATAAATCACATCTGACAATTTTGAACGTAGTGGTAAGTACTCTACTCAGTAATGAGGTCTAGCGCATCCGAGAGTTTAGCACACTTGTAGGTCAAAAGCAAGGAGCAGATCTGTGCAGTAAATGATCAAACCAAAGTTCCCATCCCATAGTTCAGGTTAAAATTTGGTAAGCAAAGTGCTTCTCTTTGCCAGGGAACTGCTCTCAAATGCTAGATGACTCTCCTCTGCTGAAGAAAAGATAAGAAATTAGGGGATTGGTTTGGGTTTTTTTAATCAGAATTCCCTTATTGGTAGAGTTCCTTAAACTATTACCTAGACTTTGTTCTAGAATGATAAGAATAAATATCAGAGATAAATCCTTTGCTATTATATAAAAAGAGTTGTCTATGCTCTTTTAGCGTTCTGAGAGCGATGTTGTTTCTAAAATGTTGAAGGGCAGTAGTTCTCATAAAGTAGTAAATGATGCTAAGCGATCAAAGTGTTTCCCTCTGACAGGCATTATGTGACTGCAGCATTGTAGGTGTCTTTATTTTCTATTCATTGCACATTTTCACAGATGCTTTACTCCATGAACTTTTAAATATTTATTTTGGTGTGGTACTTTTTTCTTTGATTTATAGGAGCAGATGATAATGAGCTTCAGGAAAAAAAAAAAAAGTCTCATTAATACTTATGTCTCTATTCATGTTTGTTTGTTGTCTTGAATACAGGTGAATCTGGTGTTGAAGAGTGGGCCCAGTGGAGTACGTGTTCAGTTACTTGTGGTCAAGGGTCGCAGGTGCGAACCAGAACTTGTGTATCACCTTACGGGACACACTGCAGCGGCCCTTTAAGAGAATCAAGGGTTTGCAATAACACTGCCCTCTGTCCAGGTAGTGTTAGCAGCCAATAAATAAAATTGTGGATGTTTTTGAACTGTATAATGATAAGAATTTAAAACTATATCTTTTTATTATTATTATTTTTAACATGAATTTCATAAGGGCATATCAGTTAGAGCAGTGAAGTGTAATTCTATTCAGCTGTGAAATTTTGTCGTGTAGATTGTCATTTTTACTTTCAGAACAGTCAAGATATGGAACAAAAGTCCCTTTTTCTGACAGTTTCAGATTTTTAAAAAACGTCTATATTGTCTGATTTTCACGCAGAAAAGAGAAGGCATAGTGTGAGTACAAAATACAAACTAGGGAAGAAATGCAGAACATCAATACATTAAGAAGCAGAGACTGATTAACAGGGTGGGTTAAGTTAAGATATATTATTCGACACTGCAATTGTTTCGCCATTTAGAGTAACGTCTTCTAGGCAATGGGCCAGACAATGTTCTCTGCAAAGTAATGCCTTCATGGACTTGACTTTACATTGTTCTGGCAAGAAAGGGCAACAGCTACCCATCAAAGGAAGAAAGATCAGACAAAAAGTAACTCTCTTACATCTGACACAAGGTAAAGGTCATCAGTATCTTGCATTACAGTTTTCCTACTCCTTTTCTCTCAGACATCTGGACAGAGTTGGAGTTCAGTAGCAGTTATACACTAAGGAGAAGAGACAGGCATGTTTGAGTTAGTTGCTGAAAGGGCACATCTCGTTTTTTAGACTCTACCCGTGTATCTGATTAATCTGGGATGGGAAGCAAAAGGGAAGGCATATGCCCTGCAACTACATTCATTTTCCTCTGCTGCGTCTCCAATGCAAAAAAATTATATGCCTCCCTTCAGATGCAGAAATTCCTTAGCTCTTTGTAACATTTGATCCCAAGAGGGTGGTGAGCCACCTTCAAGTTCTGGGGAAGCCTACTCCATTTTTGAAGTAAACTAGACTGTCATACGCAGAGAATCCCCTGGAATTTATCTCAATGAGTAGCAGTAATATGTAGAATCAGACTCTCACGTTGTTACTATGTGTTGAAAATTATCCAACGGGAAGTGCATACATGATCCCATCAGAGTTTGTGTATCAGCATTATAACCATTTAGGGAACCTCTGTAACGGAAAGCAACTTAAAAGATTGTACCTAGATAAGCCACCATTGTAATAAGAACTTCTGTCAGCATCTAATGCTTTACTACTGTGCTCTAGATAAGCAATTCACATGGGATTTTCTAATATTTCATGGTAGAAACCCCCAGGCAGGGTTGAATTCGATCGCTTGTAGTGTTTCCATACAAAAATGGCAGCTATTTCTAAAAAGGCTAGGATAGCTTACATTCTGCCAGAGGTGGGTTATATTGCAAAAGAACTCTCAGCTTGAAAGTATAAAAATAAGAAGTGAAAAAAAAAAAAGAAAACTATAAAAGAAAAGAACAAACCTTCCAAACAATCGAAGATAGAGATTCCTTTGAAAGTGCATTAAGCATGAACATGAAAACACACAGTCCAACACTCACAATGAGATGCAGTTCTGCCTGCTTTCTTCCTCATTTTGTATTACCTAAGAAGAGGAAAGGCATTTAAATCACCTCATTTCACAGAATTTCATCTTCATTCTCTCCAGTAAGGAATGAGAACTTTTCATATAAAAACAAACAAACAAACAAATCCATGTAATGCAAAAGCCAAGGTAATTAATCTGCTGTCAAAGTAAACTGGAAAAAACTTAATTCTTAAAAATCACATTGTCTAGAAACTTCTAAACGATGCTCACACAAAAAGACTGCCCCATATTTCTCAGGTCACAAAGGAGCTCTGTCCTTACACGTGAAGGGGTGTCCTTACTCACTTCAGGGTATGGCTTTTGTTTCCAGATACCCAGTATGAGTAATGGCTACCAATTCTCACTGGCTAACAGTGATACTGCCAAGATATTTTCCTTTTCAGATCACCACAGCTGATTCTGATAATCTTTATGTATCTTGAGTTACCTTTCCTAAATAATTAGTCTTCTGGGCTTAATCTTGCATGTTGTTTCACATAATTACAATAATCTTATTAATTTATGTTGGTCTCTGTCTGTCTACAGGGTCACTACTGTGTGGCAGTGTGCAAGATTACCAATTTAGAAATGTGCTTTTCCTAGTCACAGCTCCATTAATTTTTCAAACATCCCTTTAATTATGAGCTTAAATATCCTCTGCCCTCATTATACTATGTATCCTGACTCAGAGAGTTGCATAGTTCAGGATTATCCCTGGTCCATGCACAACAAAATGCGTAGTTTGTACACAAATATAATTAAAACACGAGTGTGATGAACCAATCCAAACATATGCATACATAGCTGGGATCTGGCCTATGTACCCAGACCTATACCACTCATTCCATACAGCTTTTGGACTGTGTTGACACAGCAAGATTTTACATCTTAGAGCATAAATTAGAAGCAATAACCATACAAAAATAACAGTGGTCTCTCCTTGTAACCTAGAACTACAACTACTGGTGCACATTCATTATATGTTTGCATGATTAGTAAAAGGGAGGGGGGAGCATTTTGAGAGTTGGAATAATGTTTCCTAATCAAAAAGTTGCCCCTTCAAAATAAAAAGTATGCAGAATGGCCTATTGCACTATATTTCAAGCTTCTATCCATAAGTTTCAAAAGAAGCTGTTAAACTTGAAAATACCAATGCAAGACTTCCAGAGTATTTTCATCTACTGTCTTCACATACTCCCTTTGGTGTCCAAGGTACTTACTGGGATGCTAGGAAATACGTTTCTCTGTGGTCTCACTGTCCTGGAAAATTTTGAGAATGGGATTCACCAGGTTCATGATTATATATATATATACACATAAACACACACACACATATATATAAGTATTGAAATAAAACCTTAAATTTCAAAATAGTACTCCTAATAATTCAAGTAAAATCATGAAGGAACCATTATTTACATAATTTTTGGTTTATTTATATTTGTTCCAGCCCAATACTATTTCAGGGGCAGGAGTCCATTAGGTTATTCAATCTGTCTTGGAATGAAGAGTGCAGCATAGTAGGCAACAACACACAGTTCAGGTAACCATTATTGCTACTGGTGCTTTTGCGAGCAAGGACATCAAGTGCCACTGATTCATTTCAGCTTAGTAGATCATTTCTAACACAGCTAAAAATTCACAAAGAATGAACATGAATTTCCACGCCTGTAGATCATCTCAGTTAGTTTCTATTTCTCCTTCCCCATTGCCTTCAACACCTTTTACCACAAAATTTAGCCAAAGATCGGGATTTTCAGGCTTATGGATAAAGCAAGACATGGCAGAAGCCAGAACACCCTAAACCATTTCAAACATGTCTATGCTCAGAAGCTATATTGTGGCTGGTGTGATATGCTTACTTATCTCCGTTTTTTTCTCAGAGCTCATTTCAATGAAGTTTAGCCATATCGGTGAAACATTGCACATTTTGATATATTCCATGCCTGCATGGTATACTAACAAAATCGTTATAGAGAAATTAGTCCTGTCTTTTTTAATTCCCATAGCTTTATTGTTAGTAATCTATGGTCTGGAAGTTCAGGCCCTCACCTGAGAGGAAGAAAATAAGAGAAAGGAAAACTTAGGTTTATAATTAGAGAAAGATATGACAGAAGTAGAGTGGCTGTATGGCTTAAATGTGAAAGTTAGGGGGCAGCTGTCAGAAGGTTTGCTGAGTTTATGTATTACGAATTTAAGACAGGACAATTATGAAGGAAACTATAGAACTTAAGTGAGTTTAAAGTTGTGCATACAAACCCTTTAATGAAAAAAAATCCTTTAATGTAGCATCTGCTTATATGCAATTATTCAGCCATATTAAACTATGATACCACTTACAATGAAACATCAATGGCCATAATAGCTTTCCAATATCTGTTCAGTTTAAAGATGAACAAATCAAAAGCATTTAAATGCCAATAAAAATTTCCCAAAATATGCTTGTAGGATGAAGGCCAGCATGGCCTCACGCCTCCTTCTACTTCACAGCAGTTGCGTATTGTGAACATTGTGGGTGTTCACTTCAACATGATTAGGTTCACAGAGTGGCAGAGAGAAGGGAAAGATGCTCTGCAGTAAACCAAACTCGTTGTGCGAGCTATGTTTTTGACAGATAAGTTGGCAATAATCTGAATATTTTTGTCCCAAATAATGAATCTTGCATCTGAAACTGTGTTATAGAAAACAGTAACTCCTCTGTGGGCCAGCTCTCCATCTGGTATAATTTGGCATAGCTCATCTGGCTATATTTCATCAGATGTTATAGGTTTTTTTGCATTTAGAAAATGATATTAGAGAAATAAAATGTAAATGAAATATCAGAAAAGATATTCAAAGGTAAGAAATTTTGAATTAAGATGTTCTGTTAAAGCTGATCTGAATAATACTGAACATTTCTGTGATGCATTGAACAGATTAATTCGCCTTAATATTTATATTCTGACATTGGTTGTTTTCTTAGTGTTATGCCTTTTCCATCCTTGACTTTTTTAGTTATCTGCTAGTTAGAGATATACAAGTCTATACAAGAAGGTACTGTGAAATTTTTACTTAATAAGTAAAATTTGTCATGGAAGATGATTTTGGACACAGCTTACTTTAAAACACAAATAGATAGAGGCTGATGTAAGTTTGAGTCCACCCAAAGTGAAACATTTTGGTTTGGCTTATGTTCAGATCCAAGATCACAAAAGAATCATTCTGTGTTGCTGTTAACATGCAGTCACTCTTGCCAGAAGAGATATACAACCTTTTGGCTCAAGACAGTATCTTCAAAGAGCCCCTCAGCACATGTTTTTGTCATTTTTAAATGAAGACAACTAACTTACAACATTTTGACAGCATCAAATCAAAGCTCCAAATTGAACCTTAGACTTAAATTCAAATGTACCTTGAAAAACCTCAGCCTGTGTCTACATAGTGTCAAGACTTTTCTAAATTATTATTTTCTACAGAATAATCTTTTTCTAACTTGGATTAATTTTGATTTGCTATGTTTTGTACTTTTTTAAGTTCTTCTTGTTACACCTGAGCATCTTAATCAACTATTGTAGTATCAGGAGATGAGATTATATCATTGTTATTACTGACTACAGTTTGGAATCTGATCTGAAAAAATGATTTCTCATTCATTTTGCTCATATGATAAAAAGAGATACGCCCGGATTCAGAATCTAATACTTTGCCAATGAGAAAAAAAAAATCTTCAGATCATGTGGCTGGATCAGAGTAGCTGTTTAAGTACAGTATCTGTTGAGAAAAGATGAAATGTAAGGGATTATATGCAGATAGAGTCATCAATTTACTAGTTTTAGAAGAGTTAGGTTTCCCGGTTTTGACCAAAATGTCACAGTTAATCAAGGTTTCTAAAATAACTATACTAAAATCTGTCACATTAATTTGGAATGTTCCTGAGGGTTTGGTTTTGGTTGGTTGGGTTTGGGTTGGGTTTTTTTTCTGCTCATATAATGCAGATTGATGTGATATTTAGAATAAGATAATTTTAATAAAACTAGCCATGTAGGACATGGAATAATTATTGTGCTTTTTGACCACTTGTATGTGACCAAGTAAAAACCTTTCATCAATTGAGCTGTTACCTAGTGGGTTAAAATCTTACCTGAATGACACTTGACATTTTCTGTCAGGTATGATTCCTCAGAAGTCAGCTAACAAACTTTTTACCTCAAAACAGCACCTGAAATGACAATTTTCCTTACTTTTAATGACATGCAATAGAACTTACCTACATGCAGAATTCCCCTTGATATTAGTGATGATTTTGTGACAATATGCCAGGCAGCCGAACTTCCTTCTGCACCCTTGGCAACTGAATTTCACCTCAGGAAATGTTATTCTGATCCTTAAAAGAAAAGGGTTTTATTTGTAGAAACTGGGCAGGTGATACGTGCCTTCAAGGCAAAGGAAACCTATTCATGATAAGTTCTTTCACAGTGATGAAAAAAAGTGAGGACAAACCAGAAAATCTATTTCTTCTGTAATGTTGTGAACCATTACAAGTGATACAGTGAGATGTTGTACACTATTTCACCCTCCAGACACCCTTCAAACAGGCAGGGTTGCAGAAAGGCAGAGTTATATGATATTGAGTGTGATGCTCAGTCTGGGTACTGTCTCTGGATTTTTTCTTAAATGTCTAGCATTACTACAGTTCTCGTTACTACATTCCTGTTCTCACATGGCCTAATTTAGACTTGTGTAACTGCTTTTATTTAATCAGAAGAAAAATAACTAAAACTTGTTTTGCAGTATTTTTCAATTTATAATGAGTTGTTTTGCCAATGCACGTATGGAGTTGCCTTACTGGACCATGCTTAACTATAATACATTACAGAACTTTCTGAAAATTTAACTCAAATAGTTTCTGAAAAGGGAATTCATATGGTATATAAGCTCATATGGATACTGTATATTAGTTTCTCCTACAGTGGAAAAAAACTAAGGTAGAGAAAGACACATTTTCTATAATTCTTTATATTAATTTTCTTAAATAGTTTTATATAAAAATGTTGGTATGTTTGTAATTCATTGTGTACTCTGAAGGTGTTTGAAGTTTGCTGAGTGAACATTTTTTAAGATAGAGTGATACATGTATTACTCTGTGTGCTAAATCAATGAATATGTTCATGTAAGGAAATAGCGCAAATCTCTTTTGCTTATGTGGTCTTGGAATTTTTGAGGAAGGTAATCAAACACATGTGTTACCATGTTTCCATTGGCATTTAAACAAGTGAAGCAATTGTAAGATAACAGCCCCAATTTATGATGTTGTCACAGTAAGAAATTATTGCATTTATTCCTATATTTTCAAAAGGAAGCTTAATTTTGATTGCTTCAATTTTTTTAGTTGCCTTGAGACATAACGTATATGCCTGATTTTCATAAAGACTAGTCTCCTGAAAATCAGGGCCATTAAAGATATCTCAAGTCAGGCACCAAAAACATCACAGCTAACTTTTGAAAAGGGAAACCATCTTTCTTAAAAGAATGAAAGAAAAAAAAAGTGGTAGTGAAATTAGTTTAAAAGTTAGGGAAAATGGTTCAAAGATAAATATATTTTAGAGAAAATAGAATTTTAAACCTGAAATTTACTAGATTTTATGAAGGATTTATTTGCCAATGCTAAAGAATTCCTCTGTACTCATTTCCTTGAAGTTGGCAAAATAATTCCCATTTAAAATATTGATTTTGTTTACTTTGAAATCCTTCTGTTACTTGTGTGTCTGTTTCTGGTTAAAATCTGTTTGGTTTGTTGCAGTACATGGCGTTTGGGAGGAATGGTCACCTTGGAGTTTGTGTTCATTCACATGTGGTCGAGGCCAAAGAACTAGGACAAGGTCATGTATACCTCCCCAGTATGGGGGAAGATCATGTGACGGACCTGAAACGCAACATAAACCTTGCAATATTGCACTCTGCCCTGGTGAGCTCATAAGCAACTCTCTACTTTGTTACAGTGCATTCAAAGTGGGTTGATTGTGATTTCTTTTATTGCCCTTTGCAGACAGAAAAAAAAGAGAGTTATACAAAGTGAGTAGGCAGGGTAATGTTCATAGTTCTGACTGTAGTGATATATAATCAGGATGGTAACTGTGTTCAAGAAACTACAAAAGCAGGCAATTCTTAGTTTCAAGATATTCTCTCTGTAGGGCATGGTATGTTGTGTAGCAAATCTTGATTCACGATGGGTCTTGGAGAACCCAAAAACAAGCAACTTTCTCAGTGTGGCTTAGAGGGACACATTCAGAGGTCACACCATTTATGTCAGCCATATCTGTTTGAATTATGTTTGCTTGGAGGTTCACCGTAATAATTTATTCATCATACAACAAACGTATTTGGGAAATCATAAAATTTTAATTGCTATTCATTTATTCAAAATGTATATTATTCACATGTGTGCACATAGAAAGGCTGACATGAGTTAGGACATTATTTGAATCCCAGTTAAGCCTTTACAGTAAGAACTTTAAGTGCCCCATTTCTGGGAGTTAATAGCTAAACCACTTTCAAGAAACTACCTCTAACCAAGTAAGTGCATGGGCTTCATGTTAAACCTTCCATGCACTGAAATTTAAACTCAAACAAAATCACCTATTCTTTCAAAATAGATTTTAAAATTTTTGTCCATAGGTTATGATTAATTTTGACCAGAATTTTCAATATATGTATATATGTAGATACATATATATGTGTGTATATAAATGTATATAATATCTCAGTATGACAATGAGTTCAGTAACCATAAAGAAGATTATATATATAGTTACTGAAGTCATTGTAATAAAGGGTGTCAGGTAGCTGTAATATGAGAAATGTCTTTCATGAGTTCTGTCTGGCAGTGTGAAGGTTGCCCTTGCAGTGGGCTTGCTGAATATCCACAGTTCACAACACTGCTGCAAATAGGTTCTCCGTGACCGGAGCTCTTCCTGAAAAGGGTTGATGCACATTTTATTAGCAAATGGTTGTTTGATGATTTGAAATCAGAGATGAAGGACAAAATGGAACTTAGTGCCTCAAATAATTAAATTTCTTAGATTTATATTAAACTTGAACTTTGCTTTTCTTTCGGTCAGCAAAGCATACTCTAGTACAAAATTTGTGGAAAAGTTTTAGTCTTGAATGCAGCTGCAAAAATGTTGAATTAATCCAGTTTTTGGCCAAGTTGGCAGCTGTGCAATTTTACATGTGCCTACACAAAAGTAATTAACATGATATATGAGCATGAAGCAGAGTTGACAAGAGAAATGCCAAATAAAAATAGCAGTGAAGAAATTAGTGCATTGAGTTCACTTCAGTATTGCAAAGAAACACAAAAGATATTACACCTAATCTGTCAAAATAAGAATGAGAATTCTGGATTTTGAACTGTTGTTTGTACTTAAATGACTTTGACAAGAGGAAGTTATATACTGGTTACATTTAAAAGTAACAGTTTAAATCTTTGCTGAATGTTAAGATTTGCTGTAATTTGAATGTTCAATTTTATAAGGGAATCTTCATGTTGAATTCTTGTAATGATATTTCTGAAATAGAAAACCCACATGTTATTTGCTCCTAAAGATAAAGAAGGGAGATGTATGAAATATATGTGAGAAGCCACAGAATGAGTTTTCTCCAAAGACGCTATAATAATTGATTCGATCTTTCCTACCCTAAATAATACTATATAGCAATGAATAAAACTGAAGAGGGTACATCGAAATGTAATTTCCATAATGTTTTCCTCTTCACATAAAGCTTTTATGATTAATGAGTGCAACTAGCTTCCATGTTTGGAAAGATTTCCATTTTCTGCTGAATAAATTATCAGGGAGCAGCTTCATAGTTTGAGAGGCATCTGCATTGAGAAGTGGTTCACAACCAGGCATTACATAGAATATTTAATATAGAACTTTAGGAAAAAAACCTCAAAACCTCTCTTGAATTCACTGGTTGCTGAGATCCTGAGCATTAGATATGGAAAGCATCTTTGAACTGTTAAAAATGTTCTGTGATTACTGTCAGGCAACAGTAAAATAGTTCACCTCAATATTTCACTGAACAGTGGTGCACCCATACAGACACGGTATGTTAAATCACTAAGTTAATGATTCTGCATCCTATTTTCATTATTAACACCACCAATTTAGGAAGCTGCTAATCCAACCCTCCTTTAGGAGAAACCTGAAATCAGGGGTTGGCAAGTTTTCAGCAGTAGTGCTTTTATGGCAATAGTAGTTATAAAACCAGGCTTTCAAGGAAGATTATTAATCAAAATTGTATTACAACCTACATTTTGAGTTTATACTGGGTAACTGCAGGTGCAATGAGGAACTGATGATTACTGAAGTCTGAACGAACAATCAGTAATAACACATTTCAAACAAATAACACTGTTTTCAAAAATACTGTCTAGTCCTATTATCTATTATAGACCACGTAATTTTTCACTTGTATGGGAACTTAATTGCTTTATATTTTTTATTATTTTGTTTTTTCATACTTTCATTTACTTTAAGAAGATTTCTGATACATGAAATTAAAAATAACAATCCTAAACCTTTACTCATGGGAATATTCATCCAAACTCAAATGTATGGGCTAAGACAAAATACTAAATACAGAACTGGTCACTCTATCATTACTGTTTAAAAATTCAACTTGACAAATTTAGAGGGAAGATTATGCAATATGCAAACACAGAAGCAGACCTGAGGAGGAAGGCAGGCCATTTCTGTCCACCTACATTTTATCTCAAAAGAATGTTGAAGGTCTGAGAACATTTACCTTACAGGCAGGATGAATGATAAAAGTATATTCAGCATTATAAGTATAGAGAACAGAAACTGTATGTGAGGCAAGGTGGTAATTCCTGTTTTCCTTTTCCTATTCAACTAAAGAGACTTAATTTCACAGTCAGGACCAAGAATCTTATAAGCCAACCTGTCTGAGTGACTGCCGCAGCTGCAATACATCACTTTGAAGGGCTCGGGGTTTACATGATACAAGACTGGCCCCCCACTTCTGCCGAAAAAGACAAGAGTGGTCTTTTTAGTAAGGCCTTGTTTTTAATAAGGCCTTTCAAACTGTATGGTATGCAAGCAAAGTCATAATTTAGCCTTTGTTACATCAGTGTATAATTAGAGGAGATGGAGCATTCTTTACTTGAAGAAAAAGGAAAGCAGTTTTAAACAATTTTAAAGTAGCTCATAATGGTGGTTTCTGTGTTTGCTGTAAGAAGTCCAGCATCTTCAGGCTAGGCCCAGCCCGAGGGGCTGCATTCAGGCCTAAGTTGAAACCCCCTGACCTAAGCGCGGCTGAGGTGGTAACTCTGCTGTCTCCATCTCTTTTGTGCCTGCTGCGGCAGTCGACGGACAGTGGCAGGAGTGGAGCTCGTGGAGCCAGTGCTCGGTGACCTGCTCCAACGGCACCCAGCAGCGGAGCCGGCAGTGCACGGCAGCAGCCCATGGCGGCTCCGAGTGCAGAGGGCCCTGGGCCGAGAGCCGGGAATGCTATAACCCTGAGTGCACCGGTGAGTACCCACGGGCGCGGGGAGCTGCAGCTCTACCTCTCCGGCTCAGGAGGGACTTGAGGCTGGTCCTGCCAGTCGCTCTGAGCCGGGAGCTGGGGGTACTCCAGCAGACTCACCGGCCATCGCAGGCCTCAGCGGGCCGCAAAGGGGCAGAGCGGCCACCTCCAGAAGTAGGCCTGAGGCCTCACTCTTTTTTATTTCATGAGGTAAAAAGTTAAAGAATGCATCCGGAAAGACTGCACGACGGGCTGCATACCAGCTTTTCAGTTTTATCACCAATTAAAGGACATTCAACAGTTTTAGAAAGATATTTTTGGGGCCTAAAAAACTTGATAAAGTGTTTCGCGAATCTAGAAAGTGAACGTATATGAACTGATTCCCTTTTACACTAAGACTAATTCATGATCTTCTGGCAGTATAAAAGCAGCCTTCCAGGGTGAGTAAATTACATTTATACGTACTTTTAAGCTTCAGTTGCACTGTCAGAGCATGTAAAAATCAAGCTCCTAAAATATCACATGCAAAAATATTTTTATCTGGTTTTTTAAAGGGTACTTAGACACGTTGTGTATGTGTATCATTACCATATAACAGCACTACACAAGTATATAAAAAAATACAAAAGGGACAATATCTGTTTTGCAGTCTGAGAGTTAATGTGTGCCATTTTTTTTAATTTTATCTTGAGATGCAAGTTATTTAGACAACAATCCCATATTTATGAGCCAAATAGAGACTTCCCTATCTTCCTTGTGCCTACATCTACCATTTCTGTCACTGTTTGTTATATCTGGGGGGCTTTCTTCTCTTACCCAAGTAAAGAATAACCTATATACCCTCCTTTATGACTGTCTTTATTTCCCCACTGTAACTATGTTTTTCCAAACAGCAAATGGCCAGTGGAACCAGTGGGGGCACTGGAGTGGCTGTTCCAAATCCTGCGATGGTGGCTGGGAGAGGCGGATAAGGATCTGTCAAGGTGCTGCCGTGACTGGGCAACAGTGTGAAGGAACCGGAGAGGAAGTCAGACGGTGCAGTGAACAGAGGTGTCCCGGTGAGACGCAAATAAAATCACTGTTATTATCTACACTGCAGTATGGCTTACTTTAATGGTCATCTTTAGGAGAGACAAGATCAATGTCCATAGAGCAATCGCCATAAAGAGCCATATCTGGCCTTGCTTTAAACAAGTCACTGCTGTTTTTCTCAGTAGAGTTGTGTTTATGTAGCTGGGTGCAAACTAGCCCTGTTGGATGGATATATGAGTAATGCATCACGTTTTAAATAAATCAAAATAGCATAGTAAAGAAAGTTATCAGAAAAATATTTCATTGCCTAGGTATGCCTATGTTATTTAGAGTGGCAATAATTTGCTACAGAAATTCTCTTTGAATGCGCTGTTTCTCAGAATATCAGGGCTGTATTTGTAAATCATGGAATTCCTTTTATCCAGTGTACAAGGGACGTCTTTGTAATATGTTTGGGGTAAATGCCAGTGCAGTAAAGATAAGGGAAAAAGTGAACCTTACTGTACTGTATAGAATGAATGAATACATGAGCAACATTTTATAAAAAGGAATATAAAATGACAAAGGCATGGTTTTTAATATGATGCTTAAATATATTTCTTTGCAGCACTTTTTACTTTGCCCTCCCAACAGATTTAAGTCTGTCCCACTGAAAGCTAATAAAAGTGTACTTTTGAGCTTCTTCAAAAGTGATGAATAAACAAGAACAGCTGGTGAATCTAATCATATTTATCTATAAAGTCACATTGTCCTAAAGTAAAAGAATGTATTGTTGGATAGGTGTAAGATAACAAAATAAGGTGTAAGTAGTATAGGATGTATTAGCCATTCGCTTGGGAAATTATGTGTTCTGAACTGCAAGCCAGGAGGCAGAAAAAAATCAATCTAGTAATCTCTTTGCCTTCTGGACATTTCGAAGGCTATGTTCTCTGCTAGTCAGAAAAAGGACTTAAATGGCAGGGATGCTTTGGGTCAGGAAATGGAAAATATATCAGATGTGAATTTTATGTTATCAAGCCCATATTTTCGTAGACAGCATGTTTATCCCTTGACAGCCATCAAAGAACAGTTTACAAGGTATTTTCAGTACAGTAGAACAATGAATCTCATTGCATTTAAAGAACAAAAAAAGGACTATCTGTAGTTATAAAGTTATAATATTATACTGGAGAAGCTAATAAAATTTAACTTCTCAAATTATCTCTTTAATTTTAATAAAACATTCATTATTTGAAAAGCAGTACAAAACAGTATTTATATTGGATTCTGAAACAAATTATAATTTCCATAGTTAATGCAGACTTCCTCTATAAAAGCACAGCACTAAGAGAAGGTTAATGTGAATCTTCTCAGAAAGCAGATCAACCAGCTTCTGCTTATAAAACCATTCTTGAAATAATTTGCATTTCTATATTTAAAAGAAAAACTATGCTGCAGCATTCCAATTTTCAAAGGTTGCCACCTGCTGTTAATAAAATATTTTACAGATGTATTTCCAAGTCAAATGCACACAGAGCTTTATTTGCCATTTGCTAAATTTATTTATTTACTTGATTAATTCCTGATTAGAATCACTATGCTTATAGAAACCATAACCTAAAGCACCTTTTTAACAAGCTATAGTGGTGCAGAAGATTATACTTGAATAACAGATTTAATTTATCTGTTTCTAGACTGACATTTACTAAAACATCTCAAATTTAAATCTAGCTAGTGGATAATTTACCACTGTGATGTACAGATTTGCATTTTATAAACACCAAGCAAAATTTAATATTACTGTACAGAGATGATCATTCAAACTATAAGCAAATTTTATTATTTGTATACTCTTCTTCCATAGCCCTCAAATAGTTCAGAAAAGCTATTTTTGTCTCATTGGTTTCTTTTTCTGTGTAAGTCATTGAGAAACATAAGCGACTAAAATGTTACTTTTTTCTTATATTAGCATTGCTTTGCCATTAGTGTAAGACCTGATACTCAGCTCTGTAGATCTGCATAACATGTTTGTAAAGTGGATGAAGCTGCACCTGTTTGTATCACCCAGAGGTCTATAGACTTACAGAAAGTTGAATTATAGCTGACTTTAAACTGTGAAAGCAAAAGGAGAATAAAATCTTTTTCTATTATGCTGGCCACTGTTAGTGACATACTTTGCAGAGCTGTTTACTTGGCTGACTGAAAATCTTGACTGGACGTTTTATTGTTTGAGTTCTGCATTATCTGAACATTGTACAAAATTTTCTTCACAGTCAATCAGTGATACTCTTTGAATGGTTCGGACAGGGACTGAATTACATCAGACACTCCTAGAAGCTGAATATAAGCAGCAGTAATAAAGACAGGCTCGGAACTATTATCTGAAAGTTGATTTATCAAACAGCTTGGTTTCTGGACAGATGTTGATTATCTTTCTTTGTGATCTATTTCTATTCACAATTATCAGTTTTAAAACTGTGGTTGTTTCTTTACATTGTGTAATATTCTGGGAATGAAAAACAAAGATCTGAAGACATTTTGGCTTCAGTCATTGTTCCTTTGTTGTATCCCAAACGTCTAAAGTTAGATTTCACTCCTAGTAGGTCAGCAGTGTTAAGGATTTAGTACTCTGCACTCAAAGTATCCTTTTGTGAAGTATAACTTCAGAAAATTGGAAACAAATCAGAGAAAGGAAAAAACCTGCTAGATCTGCTAAGCAGCTAGTCATGCAGAAATCACTGCAGAAAACTTACACAGGATAAATGAATAGGTCTGTCCCACAGGAATAAAGGAGACAGCTATGTAACAAAAGACATTCTAATGCATAACTGATAAGGAGTTACATGGCAAGCTGATCAGAAACTTTTAGAGAAATGTGCAAGAGAAGTAAGGTAAGTCCCAGCAAATATGTCAGTAAAAGGTAAAAGAGATGTGAAAACTGAGAACAAAGTACAGTATTATTCAGGAGAGAAGACTTCTGTAAATTTATTTTTATAAAAATTGGACCATGTTCTTATGACAGTTTTAATATCTTAGTTTCCAATAATACAGTAGTGGTTTCCAGAAATACTTAATTCCATAATAGTTAATTCTATAATAATTCTATGCACGATCCAATATTTATGCTTTACACAGATTTTACTGAAAACAGGTCCTGAATATTTTTCTCATAAGCCTATTTTCAGTAGTAGAAAACATAGTATAGGAATTTTGACCACAATATTACTGAAAACAATTATAGACCACCTTGTTTGTTAACAAAATGATAACAGTGCACAACTGATGCCAAAGACTACCTAATGATTTCCTACTGAAGGTAGAAGGTTTCTTCAGAGGCAATACTATCTAAATAAGATAGAATATGATAAGGAGGAAGATTCCAATAATTGTCAACAACTAAATAATAAAATTAAACCTTTGTGTTTTGTTTTGTCTCTGATTACAACACTACTCTACAAGACGTTCAAAAGCTTTTTTCTATTGTTTTTGTTTAAGATAATTTTGCCTGTGGCATTGAATTAGGATTCAAGAGAGGAACTGCAGTTCTGGGTTCATTTGTAAGCTATTGTGTGCTGTTGGCTAATTTGCTTCATCCTTTCTTTCTATTACCCTTTCCCATATTTTTTTGCTGCCTAGGTAGATCATAAACTCTGTGAGGCTGTGCGTCTCTCTTGCTTTGTCTGTATGTTGTATAGAGCTTCCTCAGATCCCAGGTGGGTTGATTGCCTCTTGGGGATGCGCGTCCTATCACCAGTAATGTCAGAGGAGGATGCTGCTTCTAGACCACTGAGTTTGTTGAGTGTTTGTGCTTAGGTGGGATGAATTCAGGCCTATCATTACAGGGGTATAATGTGGTAAATTTGAGCACATGCTTTATGTGGGAAGATATTGCTGAATCACATCATCAGTGAAAGAGAGATCTGCTTTTTATTTGCCAATTTTAGAAAATTTACCTAAGTATTTGCTGTTTGCTTCTAAATTTTAGCAATTCTCTATCATTTTGTATAGCTAGCTCACATTTATCTGTGGGTGTGTTATGAATTAGTTGTGCCATAGTTACAGAAATGCTTGAACTCGTCCTGAGCAGAGCCAGCAGGGCCAGCGAGTTTTTTTAACTCAGATATAATACCACTCCAGCGTCACTGTAATGTCTCCATGGGCAACACGGGTTAGAGCCTCGCAGATGCTTTAATGTGGGTGGATGCCTGATTAGTAAGCTCTGCCAGATATACTTTAGCTTTGGGAAGAACTGGTTTGTTTTTTATGTGCAGCATTCCTTGATCCAAGGTATTTGTACAATATGTTGAAAAGCACATAGGTGCAGTGCAGAGAGTCAGCCAGGGACCAGAAAAATTTGTTTACCCAGGCTAAGTGATACCTCTTCCAAACATTGACTTGCTCCCACATCTCTTTCCTGATAGCTCTGAGTCCTGGGAATACCTTTTACTTTGAATACAACACACAAGTACACAGATTATCTGTGGCACTAGGTTAAGTCAAAACATCATTTTGAGTTCTGAAAAGTGCAATGCAAAAGCACACAGATAGTATCTTTCCAAATAGATGGGAATTTTCTGATATTAGAATCATAGAGTCATAGAATCATAGAAT